AAGAAATTGAAGGTAACCTTCATGTGACCTTTAAGCGACTATCCAAGGTCAAACCAATGATACCATTTTATGGCCCCCTTGAAACCATACAACTTTTGTCTGAAACATTTTCTTGTAAAATGCAAGGGAACGGAAATATGTTGGGTAATAGATTAAAATGGGTCACCCTGTATAATACCCTAGGTATTATATCTTAATATTCCTGAAATATTATTAAAATACTTATAAACATGAATTATTTTTAATTTTGTATAATTTGAATTCACAATCCAATAACGAAAAGTTCTTATCAATTTATGCTGCATCTTGTGCTAAAAAAACGTGATTTTCGATGTGATTTTAAGTACAATACATATCCAGTTCTACAACTGCGCGCCAAAATCATTTTCAGTTTTTGAACGTATACTTATACTGAACAGATGTAAGTTTTACAAATTAAAGTAAATGCTGTTAAATACTTTTTAATTTTTATACGATATTGTAAAGATTAAAGCAGACGATTACTGGTACTCCGGAAAAACTAACGTCGAAGTCTGACTCGAATCGAGGTTATAAAGTGAATTCTCATGAATTCTCAAGAAATTTCCTAATTAAACGAATTTTTTCGTAATTAAACGAATTCATCGGTTAATCGCATATTATGCGCAGATGTAGCTTTTCTGGAGTAAAAGTATTTGCGCATAATGCGATTGCTCAATCATACGAATTAAAAAAGCTCGACTATTGCGCATTGGCATTATCACTGACGAGATATTAAAGACCGACATCCTTATGGGAGTTCGCGTCCTTGTTAATATTGAACTGATTAAGAGTAAAAAACTGATAATATTGTATTAATTTTATGATTTATTAGTTTAGTAGACGTGTTTATCGGTGTACGTGCATTTAAAACTCAATAATAGTTGATTTTTCTTTAAAATTGTGATTTCAGTGTTATCGTTCGATTATCAACAGAGATAATAACTGCAGAGAAAAAAATTGTAATTTTTCGGCAATATATAGGATATTACAGCTGTACAAATATGCATATTTGTTTATAGAGCATTTATGTAATAAAATATCATGAATTTAATAATGTATTAGTCAAATATTTATGTTAATAATAGCAAATTTATATTAATTGTCGATAATGTCAGCGTTCTTCGATTACCTCCGGGCCCTTGGGGCTCTTTTTATACCGCCGAAAATTTGCCCAGGGTTGACGGTCTTTAATAGTATCTCGTCGGTGGCATTATCGATATCATTTGAAGTGTCGAACTGTTTGAAGTTGTCGTATTCGAGACAATTCGTGTTTTGACAGCAGAAAAGTCGATTATCGAATTCTGACCCGAGTTGCGCAGGTAGACTTCTAAGAAACTCGTTCGGTTTCGTAATTATACAAGATATTTATCAGAACACTCAACGTATTTGTGTATTATCCATACGTCTACTGTTTTTATACCAATCGCAACGGAATAAATACAAAAAAAAAAGATTGTCGAAAAATGCGACTCATCCTAGAAACGACCCGAAGCGACTCGTCATCGGTCGAGACCTATTGATACATCAGCTGATGATGGCGATTTGCACTTTGCACCGCTTTTTATCGCATGATCCGTGTTTTCCGCGACTCACCGTACGAATCGTGTCTTCCAGATCCTGGAAGTTGAGGACAGGCAACAATTGATGCGAAAAAATGGTGCTTTCCAAGCCGGTCAATATCTTTTATAGTCTCATCGGCGCATATTTACAGCGGCTCTATTATAGTCCTTTAAAAACAAAAGCTATAACGAGGTAAGAAGACAGAATCTTGCTACATAAGCTCCAGATGTATACTTGATTAGTTGATTATATATAATGTCCATTTTTATCAATATTGTACTTTAATTTCAATCTCAGTTCAACTAATTCTTTATCTTTTTCTACTTCTAAGAATTACATTGACATAAGGCCCGATTCTACTTCAATGTAAGATTCACTTTAACCTCGGTTCAATTTGCTTTTTATTTTCTTCTAATTCTAAGCCTAAGTTCTATAATGTGCTCTTCGTTTCCTGTTTTTTGCTGTCTCTTGCCTTTTTGATCAAGAAGGCAAGAAACAAGAAGAAACAGAAAACAAAGAGCACATTGTAGAATTAGCCTTAGAATTAGAAAAATCTAAACAGTAAGTTAAACTGAGATTAAAGTATCTTATACATTGATAGAACCAGATTTGTATAGATCTTTTGAATTTAGTTATGTGGATAAATACACTTATGATATTTTTTTAGATGTGTGTGTTATGTTTGTGTACACAAATAAAATATAAAAAAGATATACATTATTAATTATGATTGCCAGTTGTGATATAATGCACTGCATGCATTATATCACAGTAATTACTGATTAATGATATATAATATTCTATCTTTTTTATATTTTAATTATATACATAAACACATATATATACATACACCTACTAAAAAAATGAATATATTTATCCACACAGCTAAATTCAAAACAGATTCTACAAAGCTTACAAATTTTGACAGTATGTCAGCAGGATATAACAGAATCTGCTAACAGAATATGTGATGGCAGATGCAAAAATTAAACAGAATTTACCATTTCATAATTATTTTTAAATAATGTATTCCATTCAAGAATTACAAAATGACAAATTTTGCTGTATCAATGTGCCATCAGATTATATCTGCAAATTTTGTTATCAACAAAACATTTAGACCCAGTTCCATAATTAACTCTTAACCGAGGTTCAACTTATTTCTCATTTCTTTCCAATTCTAAAATTGGAATTATATATATATAAATAATATTATGCAATATTTCGATAAATATGTTTTTATAAACCTGATTTATACATTTGAATTATATTGCTAAATTAGATGATAGAAATAAGAAATATATAATTGTTTTCAGTTGCATTATTGGCGCCCTTGGAAATGTGGCATCTCAGAAATTATCCGGCGTCAAGTCGCTTAATGAAGACAGTATCTTGGCTTTTGCTCTATTTGGGTGACTGTCGTATGCACGAAGTAGCTTGGTCAACTGCTAACGAAGTAGCTTTGAAAAATTTACGTAATCTCATATATGAATGTTGTTGCAGATTATTGTTTGGAGGTCCGGTACCCCATTACTTTTACACATACATACAATTGTTCGTGAAGCATCCTCTAGGAATTCTTCTAATAGAGAGACTCATTTACACACCGTGTTTCCAAGCCTTTGCGCTCTATCTACTTGCCATCTTTGAGGTATAAAGATCATAATCTGTTGCAATAGCTTTTATAAACTGTATAAGATAAAAATATATTATAATGCTGTAAATTAAACAATATTATCTGAACAAATAATATTATTAGAAACTAAAATGATTAGGCAAGCCTATGTACATATATAAACTATAGACTATAGCTCCTATTTAGAACGCGCTTTTATCTTCAAGTAAAGTACAGTATGTTAGCGTCATTGTAAGCGCGTTCTAAATACGGGCCTATGTATATAGGCACACACGTGCAAGTAAAATGCCTTGTATGAATCTCCGCGATTATTAGTGTATAAATAATATATTTATATATTAATATAATAATATTTATAAACGCGCTAAAATATAATTCTCAAACAATTAGAATGTATTTACTAAAATTAATTGCAAACGTTTCGACTCTGATTCTTCTTCATGTAGAAGTTAAGTACAAACTCAATTTACAGAGTCGAAACGTTTGCAGTTAACTTCGTTTAATAAGTATATTCCATTTGTTTGCAAATTATTTTATCGCCTTATAAATATATTATTTATGCATTAACAACCATGGAAGTTCATACCAAGTACTTTTACATTTGATTATGCTTGGAGAAAACCACAAAATTATATTTATTAAGTTTGATAGTTTTTATTTTGTATAATTTAATATTAAAGAGAAGTCTGTTTGCAGGGCAAAACTCATCAAGTGGCATATGCTCAGATTCAAAAATTATATTTACCGACATTGATGGCTAATCTGAAATATTTGACGTTGCTCCATTATATTAACATAAGATATGTTCCACCAATGGTAACATGCATATTATCTTATTACAATACTTTCTAGATATTTCTCTATTTTCAAATAAAAATCTTAATTAGAAATTCCTTTTCAATTTATATTTATATGTACATATAAAATATAAATTGAAATTTTTTTTGTTTTATATTGTAGTTTTTTGTTTTATATTTCTTTTCTTTTTACTCTTTACATATTTCATATTATTTTCTTTTTTCTGACATTAAAATTATTTATAGACAATGTTAAAAATTTATTGGAAGCAATTATTAACATCTTGTTCTTTCTTTTTCAGTTGAGAGTCTTGATAGTTAATTTGATTGGTTTTGCATGGATTATCTATATTGCCAATAAAAGAGCAAAAGCTTTGAAAGAGAAGTAGAAAAACACGAGGATCTATTGTAATCATTATTATAAGTATTTTTATAATCAATAATACGTTAATGCATATGGGTGTGCTATATAGATAATGCTTCTTGATAATTTCAAAAATCAAGAACGATAAAATAATTTTATATAAATACGTGTAACAAATTTACTAAGTACTAACGGCACTCTCATTGTACAAAGTAAAGTAATATTATGTGAGTAATACATTCCATCGTTATATTTGTTGATGTTGGTCTAAGAAATGTACAAAATATATATACCAATTTATTATACTTAATACACATTAGAAGGGTGTAATATATATTACTCCTCGAAAAAAAAACTAATGTACGAAATTAAAAATTAAGATCTAAATGATATAGTACTGATCTTAACTAACCAAGTTAAATTCTATAAAATGAAAAAGTAAAACACAAGTGGTACTATCTTTGTTATTTACTTAACTCTGATTATATGTATATATCATTTGTATAAAAGATTTGATATCAACCCAGATAGCAACGTGTTTGTCTTGTTCCTGGCATATTGCTTGCTAAGTATGCATTGCTAAGTATGTGTTACTACCAGAATTGCAGCAATTGAGTCCTTATTTGTTGACAATTTGATGCCTTCACAATATGATAACATTGAGTAGCAACTTGCCAGCAATTTGCCAACAACTTTAAAATCGTTATCATCAAAATTCGTACTATTGCAATCATGTTGCCATAATAATATGCCACTATACAATGCTGTCATATTGCCGACAACGCAAGATAACATTGATGTAGCTATCTTGCTGTTAAACTGCTGGCAACACATTGTTGTCTGCATGTTGCTACAATGTCGGTATATTCGAAATCGTTGAAAACAAATCTACGGCAAATTGTCAGCATCATAAGCAATCACAGATTTGCGAGATTTTGCTGAGACACGCTTTGCTATCTGGGAACAATTGGCGCTAAGTTCCACAAAATTTTACGTATCATTCGTATCGATACGTATCATACGTATCATTCGTATCAAAAGATTTGATATCAACAACTGGCGAAGTTAAATCCCATATCAAATTAAATAAATAATATTAAATCTGATATGTATCATTCATATAAAAGATTTGATATCAACAACTAGCGCCAAGTTAAATTTTATAAAATTTTATGTAACATTCATAAAAAAAAATTTGATATCAACAATTGGCGCCAAGTTAAATCCCATACCAAATTAAATAAATACTACTAACTCTAATGATATGTATTATTCGTAAAAAAGATTTGATATAACAACTAGCGCCAAATTAAATCCCATATCCACTATACCAAATAAAGAGTATAATCCAAGTGATACTATCTTTAACTTTTGTACAATGAAACCTAAGTATATGTCTTTGTATTCTTCTTGAAGGATTTTCCTATTCCAATCCAAATGACTTTAATTCTTCTTATGTGAAATTTTTATATTGCAATTCATTCAAAGACATTTTACTTTCCAATCAAAGTAGTAATTATTTAATTCTCCTTCAAAACATTATTCAAAACGTTATGACAAAATTGGATTATCTTGTATTACTTCCATTCAAGTGTTACCACAAAAAATTAAAGAAGTAATGTCACCATCCCAAGTTACTTTTTTTTGGTAAGGTGGGGGAAATGCATACCCTTGACTCGTTCCCGCGAGCCGAGGGTTATATGGGGCTTGCATTCATTAATGCGGGTCTACAATAGAAGTCGTAGCAGTCGTAGGGTTCTAAGTCGTAGAAAATTGACCAATCACAGTCGAATATGAGAAGAATAATCAACTGTGATTGGTCAATTTTCTACGACTTAAGATCCTACGACCTCTACGACTTCTATTGTAGACCCTGCATAAAACCCTCGCCGGTATCCTTCCTCGCCCTGACAGAGGCAGACAGGGGGGGGGGGCTAAGGCATTAGATATGTAGGTATTCCTATCCGCTATTTTGGTTCTACTTGATTATTTGTCATAGTACGATTGGTGACAAAGGTCAATGTTAATTAAGAAGAGTCCGCTCACCTAAAATTTTGATAAAAATACACTGAATCGATGCGTTTTCGAGTAAAAATAAAGATTTGACAAGAAAAAAGTGTCGCTCTGCTCCGCAAACCGAGATATTAATCCTTAAAGTGGATGCGACTATTCGGGTTAGGAAATCTGTCTCACAGCAGTGGTTCACTGCGTTAAACACACAAATTCATTGCTTTTAAAATACAAATTCATTACTTTAGTAGAGAATTTATGTTTTTAAAACATAGTGAACCACTGTTATGACAGATTTTCTAACCCAAATGTACTTCTTAGTGATAAGCGGCATAATTACAAAAGGTATGGATTTTATCCTTTAAGAATAAATATAGTGTGAAATAAACAATATTTTAAACTTATATTGTACCTACGTATTCCTAATATATACGATGCTTTTTAGGAAAGA